CTTTTTTTTTAATGGAATAACTAGTTAAAAAGGCAAAGATCATCCCACTTGAACAAAAGAAACTCAGAAAAGAGAAACAGATTATACTTTTTCCCTTTTTCTTGTTGTTGGAAGTACTAAGTACGGTGGTCAGATGAATGATTGTTTATTGACCTTTTACTCATCTATTGACCTTTTACTCCAGTCATCTGTTGTTTAAGATTTATTCTCATAACTCAAAAGTAACTAACTGAGCTCAACTGTTAAGTAAACCAGCTACAATTAATTTTATTATTAGGAGAAAGTCTGTCTGCAGTGTTGAATGCTAGATAAACCATCTACAACTATCTGATCATTGTGGCATAGTAAAAAAAAAAACCAAAATCACCATGCATACACTAATTAGTAATTAATGGTGAGCAGAGAAACTGGATGAATATTACCAATCAGATGGTGAGTTACCTGCATTGACAAGACTAGCTCAGCATTGGCATCAGGTGCTGGGATTGCTCGAGATTCTCTAGCTCCTCTCCTATCAAAGTCAGGTCTCTGGCCTTTGCTTCCTGCTACTCCTTGTCTGCCAACACAACACAAACAAAAGAATATTATTAAGGCCACAACTGCATTGAGATAATAGCTCATCAAGCAAATTGATGTCCAAGCCCATTATATTACAGCATAAATTAAATCCTAAATAAGCATCACTTTTGACATGAAGCAAAGAATTTGTATTAAATCTTTTAACTAAAACTTTGATAAGGTGTCTAGTAATTGTATGATATGCACCTTCTAGCTTCTTCATCCCTTATTTTTGCATCAAACTCTTTGCTGGGAGGGTACTTTGGCAAGCTTGAAGGATCACAAGGAAGAGGTTTTGTTGTAAAGAACTGGAAAAACACATGAAGACAAATCAAGACCAATAGACGACATAGATAACAATGATAATCCATTACCAAGAGAATAGATAATAATTAATGATATGGTTCAAAAGTAGCCAATTTGGAGAGACATAATAACTTTTAAGTGATTGTTTTGAAAATTGAAGCAAATAGTTCTCCCCCCCAACCTCCCCCCCCTCTCAAAAAAAAGAAAAAGAAAAAAGAAAAAGAAAACTGAAGTTAGCATTGATTTCTTCATATGCAGGTGCCACCAACATTTAACCCTAGTTATCGGTTCTGCCTTGTGACAAGCCCCTCCCTCATGCGAGTATAATTTCTCTTTTAAAAAAAAAAAAAAAAAAAAAAGTTTAACATTAAAACTCACTACCTCACTCTTAAGAGCAGAAGCTGCAGAGCCACGATCAGCTGGATCAATGGAAAGTAGGGTCTCCATGAGCGCTAAAGCTGGAACAGGGAATTCCTTGAATGTTTCTGCAACACAGCGTCTATAAGGCTGTTGAGGCTTAAAAATAGTTGCGTGAGGCAATTTTGACTTTCTCCAATAATCCTCTGAAGGTGAGCCACAAAGTTTGAAAATTTTATGCAATTGCTCCACCTACAAAGCAGAGAGATCCATGGTCCAATAATTTATTTGTACTAGTTTTATGCATTCTGATATGGTAAGAAATCACACTGCTCAAAGAAACAAAGAGAAATCCTAAGTAGGAACAAAACCACAATAAATAAAATCTATCAATGAAAAGGAACTTATCGATCAAATGAAAAAACTAGATGGTAGTAGCACCTCAGTTCTTCCAGGCATAATAGGCTTGCCAGCATACAACTCGGCAAGTATGCAACCTGTACTCCATAAATCCACGGCAGTGCCATAGTAGGTGGCTCCAAGTAAAAGCTCTGGTGGTCGATACCAAAGTGTTACAACGCGGCTTGTCAATGGCTGATTTTGATGGGGATCATAAAAGCTTGCCAGACCAAAATCTGCAATTTTTAAGATGCCATTATTGTCAATTAGAAGGTTGGAGCCTTTTATGTCACGATGCAGGACACCACGACTGTGACAATGATCAAGTCCACATAAAAGTTGCTGCATATAACATTTCACCTGAGAAAAAAAAAAACACTCAGAGCTGGCACTTCAAAATGAAGGAGAGTTAAATAAGCATACCATCAAAGGTACAGATATAATAGGATTCTTTCCATTAAATGCAACTTTAGATATAATGCCAATCTTTGGAAAATCTATTGCAAGAAACATCCTGTTGAACTGCAGTTACGAGGAACTGAATTTCAAAAATTACTAACTCCATTACAGCTCTTGAAAAATTAAAATCAGAACCTTTAACAAGTACCTGAGATTCTGAAAACTTAAGACCAGGGTGTGAGGCCAGGCCTGCCAAATCATGTTCCATATACTCAAAAACAAGATACAAGCTGCAAGACATCCTCGATGTGACTAGTCCTTCAAGCTTTATTACATTAGGATGATCAAGCCTTCGTAAAATGTGAATTTCCCTAGCCATAAAGCGAACACTCTCAGGCTCTAGGTTGTCAAACCTTACTTTCTTCAGAGCTACTACTTTCTTTTGATCAAGATCACGAGCCCTATAAACATTACTATAAGTTCCCTGGCCAATCTGCAGATTGAAAACATATATCATTACTGGCAAGCAGGCATTGGTTGCAAAACAGAAGTTTCAACAACCATTTGCATGATTGAATGATCAGAACATACTCAATTCCAAGAACCACCTTTTATATTATAGAAAATTAGAGACCTGCAAGTTTATAGAACCCCATTTCCAATGAACAGTAGTGACACTGGCCCTCAGGTACGGTGGCAAAATGGTGGCCACAGGATATGTCTCCGTCAACCACTAGCCACCAGAAGAGAAAGAAAAAGGACCAAAATAGAAGATGGGAAGAGTAAAAATGAGTTTTTATGATCAAGACCAAGAAAGAAAAGTACATTGCTTATGATTTTCACAAGCCTTGACACCTTATTATTTCATTTCTCATAATCTTCATGGCATCTCCCTACAATGGAATTTAATGAATCTTAATTTTGCCTTTCAACAATGGTAATCATTTTAAGACAGAGGGCATTAGAATTTTTAGGCTATGTAGACTTCAGTGTGCTTAAAATACACCAGAAAGTGGCATAAATTAAAGATAAGATAGAAACAAATCAGTTTACACATAAAATGTTCCCAAATCAGGTCAAAATACAATGCTCTAGGTATCCATACATGCTAGTCACAATCCAGTTAATAAAAATTTTCTTAGCAATAGTGGTAACAGCGCCCAGCGCATCACCAAATTTAGGTGCAACAATCATGCTTTGCAATTCTTTTTGTTCAAGATGATCCATTTTCCATATGGACACAAGGAACTACATTTATAATGTAAAGGGGACCACAGTAAATCTAAATCATTCAGTGCACAGGCTAGTAGGAATAAGTTAAATGACCAATATAGCAAATTAATAATAAACATTAATATCTGGCAATTAGCACCTGCCATTAGGATTGTAACAAGAACAAAGTAAACAGTTAACTAAAAGACCAGACTAAGAAAGGAACATACTTTATCCATCTTCTCAAATGAGTCTGCACGCCTTGGCACCCACCCCCTAATTGCATCTCCTGCCACTGCAGCTAGCCAAGCAGGCCAACCTGCTGCTATTTGCTCTCCTTCTGTAGCTTTTGGGATACTACCCATCCCAGGATGTGAAGCAACATACTCTGTCCTCTCTCTCTTCCTATCCAAATTTTCACCATGCAACTGAACTAATCCATTCACTTGCTTATCAATTAACATTGCCCTCACCTCATTGCTATCACGTTGATTCTTAGCCCGGTATGCTTCCTCCCTCTTCGAACAGGTTCCCCTTGATCCCCTGGCATCTGATGAGGCCTTGCTCGACAACCTCTCTCTTGGGCTCTCCTTACTATCTTCAATAGAAGAAGGCTTGCAACAAACACAACCCATTATGAACCAAAACCCACACCAGCAATCCTCCTCTCTAGAATCAATAATTACCCTTAAAAGAGCACTACTTCACACAAGATTATCCTCCTCCGTGCCCATTATGCTCAAACTGGACGAACACAATCCCAAAAGGGCTAAAACCAAGGAATGAAAAAAACTATCTGTATTTGAGATTCAATTCACTCCAGTCCAATCCCATTTACTCACCATAACTTCACAAAACAAAACATGCCCATTAAACCCATTATCTAAAAACTCATGAAAATTGCAAATTTCACACACCCTATCCACAAAATCCTCAGAGCTTACAACACAACACCGCGCTGAAACTGACAGCTCTTCCCAATAAAATTTTCAAATCTCTAAATTTCTAATGATTCAAAACCCAAGAAACCAACAATTCACACTACAACAACCCAAGATCTTCATTAACACATTCCACCAAAATCTTCAAAAAAATATTTAAAAATTTCCAAGTGATAGTCAGTACCTTGAGAATGCTAGCGTTTTGGTGGGTTATCCACACTGCCTTTACCAACAAATAGCACAGTAACAAAGAAAAAAAAGATTGAAACCTTGAAGCCCTAGAGTCAGTGATCTAGGGTTTGCAGCGAGGAACAGAGAGGTACCATGGATCTGGGGCAGAGAAACAGAGAGATTCAGATTTTTGATAGACACGTATAGTATAGTAAGAAAGTTTTGATTTTTTTCAGGAAATTTCACTTGTTTTGTTTTTTATTTACTCTACTATTCTTTTATGTTCGTGTACACAGTGTAGTAAAACACACAGTTTGCCGTTTGCCAATTATTTTATTTATTGAAAATGATCTTGTTTACGGCGTTCTGTTTGCTTTGTAGAACAGCTTATGAGAAACCCAATGGATAAAAAGACATTCTTGGTGTATTTTCATAATAATCCCACGCGCTCTCCAAACAAAAAAGTTGTATTTCTTTTTTACAAACTTCTTTATATTCGTTTATTATATTATATCTCAATTAATTTAAAATCGAATTAGATAGGACTTAATCAATAAAAAGATCTATCAGTAGTTATTTTTTTATTTACAAAACTCAAACTTGAGATCTTATTTAAGAAAAATTGAACTTTTTTACTTTGACCAACAAATCATTAGTACAAAAATATTATATTTGTACAATTTATTAAACTATTATATAAGAGTTAATGCTTTAATATGGAGGGATGTCTTTTTTATTACTTGTTTTTGTTTTATTACTTAAATTGTAAAATAAAAATGTTTTTAAGAGAAATTTTGATTCTATTGTAAAATTTGAGAAATTTTAATTATTATATAAAATACATAATCCATTGTAGTACTCTATTACTATATCTATCTTGTTTAATTGTTATATTTATTAAATTATTAACTATAGTAATATTATTAATATTTTTTGTGATATTTTATAAATATATATATTTTTTAATATAATTTTATAATATTAAATGAGTAAATATGTAGTATTCTCTAAATAAAAAACTCATTTCTAGAATATCATTTCACGTTATGTGAATCATTGTATTGTGAGAAAATATTAAAATATTCTAAAGGTTTTAAGAGTACTAATAAAAATTTAGTCCCTCCAATTTTTTAAATGTTTTAATTTGATTTTTGTATGAATTTAACTTAATGTTTTTATATAGTAATTAGTTCACAATTGAAAAAAATTCTTTTAACATATAATTATTGTTAAGAAATTTTATTCGGATAAAATATTTTTATAAATTATTATTAATTTGTTATATAAAAATATGAAGTATATTTTTATAAATGTAAATATTAAGATAACTAACAATGACTAAAGAATATTTAATAATTTCTTCAATTATTAGATGAACCTAAAAGTCAAATATAATTCACCCCACACAAATTATACTTTTTAAAAATTGTTAATAAAAAAAAATCCCTTAATATTAAAAACTTATTTCTCTATTAATAGTGAAAAATGTACAATATGTCAAGAATGAACTGCTAGATAACATTTTCTTTAAATGAATTTTGAATACAACTATGTACGTAAATAAAAAAAAATTAAGAAAAAGATTTTGTAAGAAAAAATTATT